GGATCATGACCTGAGCCGAAGGCAGACGCTTAAAGACTGAGCCACCCACTTTTAACATTGAGAAATAATACATTTTTTATAATGACTGTGGAGTACAGTACAACATTTAACTTCAAGGGTAGGAGGAGAGAACAGTCCCTGAAACAAGGATCCCTTTCCCACCCTAGGGAATCTCTTATAATGCAGACACCATCTTTTTCCACTAGATGGCATTGTTTAGCTTTTTAAGAGTTTTTGTAATAGTTGAGTGTTTTGGAGCATAAAGGGGAGGTGGGAAGTGAAGGTCTGAGATTCAGTTTGCTTTCAGATAATATGTAGTAAATGGCTTTTATGCTCTTTGCAATTTGTTCAGTGGTATTTCTTCCCCTACCCCTTCACTCCTAGGGGGAGTTGGACCAGGAACGACTGACCAGGCAGCAGGAGCTCACGGCCTTGTACCAGATGCAGCATCTTCAGTACCAGCAGTTCTTAATACAGTAAGAGCAGTAACGCAGTAGGGTGCACTGCAGTATTCAAAGTGTCTTTATTTAAAAAACATTTTTTTGAAAAGTTTATTTGAGAGAGAGTGCACAAGAGTGGGGGGGAGGGGCAGAGGGAGAGGGACACACAGAATCACCTCTGACTGCAGAGTCCGATGGGGGGCTTAATCCCAGGACTCCAAGATCATGACCTGAGCTGAAACTAAGAGTCTGATGCTCGACTGACTAAGCCTCCCAGGAGCCCCTAGGTGCCTTTAGATAAAATCTCCCAAGTTTCACCTTTTACAGCAGAGAACTAAAAGTTTATAGGATACTTCAGTCACCTAGCTAGTGGCATGTTACCACTATATATCTGGAGTTTGGTCTTAACCTTCTTAAATACCAGAAATTTGCAGAAAATGACACATAACTAGAATTTCGCTCTTTAGCTCCTAAAGCAAGAAACAAAAGCATTTTAAGAATTAAATGCCTCCTAAATGGCTCAACTTTGAATGCCACAGTGAAAAAACATAGATGAGAGGGCAGGAAAGAAGTAAAAATTTATACTGTTAGCATTGGTGTGGAATGATGGCAGAATCACTTAGATTATGTGTCCCTTTGGTACAAGAAGTAAGATTTGCTGTCATTTGGTGCAAAGATTGGCAAACTGGCTTGATCTCTGTTGTCATGAGCAGGGTTTTATAGGAACACAGCCACACGCGTTTGTTGGTGTGTTGTCTACGGCTGCTTTTGCACGGCAGTGGCAGAATTGAATAATTGTATGTGGCCTGCAAAGCTGAAAATATTTACTGTCTGGCTCTTTACAGAAAAAAATTTTTCTACCTCTCATCCAGTTGGGGAAAGAAAAATCTTTTTTTTTCCCCCCCCAAGATTTTATTTATTTATTTGACAGAGACACAGCGAGAGAGGGAACACAAGCAGGGGGAGTGGGAGAAGGAGAAGCAGGCTTCCCGTGGAGCAGGGAGCCCGATGCGGGGCTTGATCCCAGGACCCTGGGACCATGACCTGAGCGGAAGGCAGACGCTTAATGACCGAGCCACCCAGAGCCCCCGTGAAAAAAAGTCTTAACCTAAAATTTTCCAAGCTGAAACATAAATTTTGAGAATTTTTATACAAGTGATTTTATTTTTGCGAAAGGTGCTTCATGTGAAAGAAGCTATTCAGATCTGTTTTTCACTTGCTTTCTGATATTTTCGGGGAGTTTGACAGTTTTTGACATTTTGTATTTTTTTTTTTTTGCTGTCCTCTTTGAGCATGTTATCTAGAAGTTCAGTTCTTTTTAGAATGAAGTAGAGAATTTTCTGTGTAACTATCCTTATCATGAAGAATTGTTAAGATTTATTTGATAGCTATTTCTAATGGTGTTTTTGGGGGGTGGTGGACTGACCTTTGTCTTTCAGTATCTCAGTAAAGTGTACTAAATGTGCATAGACAGGTTACACTTTATTTTACTTTTTGAAGACAACAGTACGCACAGGTTTTGGCTCAGCAACAGAAAGCAGCCCTGTCTTCGCAGCAGCAGCAACAGTTGGCTCTTCTTCTCCAGCAGTTCCAGGCTCTGAAAATGAGGTTGGTGGTCATTCCATGATGTGTCGTGTGTGTGTGTGTGTGTGTGTGTGTGTGTGTATGTGTATTAAAGAGAAGAAAGGAAATTTTAGTATAATGTGTGAACTCTGGTATCAAAATACCCACACAGGACACATATGTGTGTATTGTATGTAAAACCAGAATATAGCTTTTAAAAATAATAAGCTGGCAATAAAACATTTTTGATCTTTCTACTCATAGAGGATAAATTTCAAATAAGAACCTCAGAATAATGACAGTATTGGAAAAGCAATGTATTCTTACAGAACCACAATAAAAAATTATAGTCTAGAAGTTTAATCTCCTTTTCACCCATGAGCTCTCAGGAAAGATACGCACACTACCACACAGAGTAAAAATTTTTCAGAACCCAAAAGCCATTAAGATAAGTCTGAGGAAAAGGAAATTATGCTAAAAGTCTTAAATTTCTGTAGTTTCAGATTATCATTCAGGGCAGTACTTGCTGTACTTCCTTCAGAGGTATCCGTGACCGTCTTAAAAACCTTACTGTCCAATTTAACCAAAACCTTCCACATTTCTCTTTTCAGTCCTAACCCAGCGGGTGAGGTGGGCACGTTAGGCAGTAAGGTGCCAGTTTACAGATGGATAACCTGATACACCGAGAGGCTAAAGAACTCAGTTGACATAATACACAAAGAACTTCAGAGACAGAACTAAAATGAAGACCTTTTGACTTATGGTCTATGGGTTTTTCATTATAACATGCTGCCTCTTTTACTCTTATTGACATATTCTGAGTTTTTTTAAGACCATAGGTATATGAATTATCTAGAAATCAACATTTGTTAGTACCTTGATTCCAGAAGTATGATGACTGGGCCTCTATCTTTGTTCCTCTTCTAAACATTTTGGTAGTGTTACAGTTTAGTTAAAACAATGAAGGAGTTTTCTGGACAAATAGCCTGGAAATCCTACCAATCCTGTAGAAATTCCTCTTTATCTGTTTTTGCAAATGACAAGAACAAGTTGATTTTTTTATTTCCCTTTTGCAGAATATCTGATCAGAACATCATTCCTTCAGTAACTAGGTCTGTGTCGGTGCCAGATACTGGTTCTATCTGGGAGCTTCAGCCAGCAGCCTCACAGCCTACAGGTAAAAATTGGAGCTTGGTCTTCAGTGTAGCTCTGAAGATTTAGACTCTTAGTTTATAGTTCAATTTTTTAAAAATGTGTCAGTTTTTGAACCGTTCTATGTTGAATATTAACAAATAGTTAATAGACCCCAGCAAAGGATTGAAAATATTATTGAAAATATATTGTTAAGGATTTGCTAGAAGTGTTTAGTAGATAAATTTCATGAACTTGAATCAGCCTCTCTTTTTATGTTGCTCTAACCAGTGTGGAAAAGTCCTCTGAATTGTTTTTGGACTTCTGCCAGCCAGAGTGGAAAAAGAAAAAAAAGCTTAAGTAAAAACACCTATTCTTTTGAGTGAAGTGTTAATATATAGCTTAACACTATAGGTACCCAGAAGTTTTGGGATGAAAAAAGCCTGCTTTAAAGTGAACACCCTACCTCATTCTCTGATCGTTTTGCATCTAATTAGAAAATTTGGGTCTGGGATTTTAAAAAAGTCTTGATATTGGTGGAACACTTCTGGATTTTAAGGTTTGATACCTGCAGAGGTAGGTAGTTTGAACCATGGATAGTCCTTACAAGAGGTTATAGTTGGTGTTGACAGTTCTCAGGAACTATAGGCATTGATGGATTTTTCTTAGAGCCCTTAAGGTTGTCAGGTGATAGTCTCTTGCTAACACTGATCCTGGGGATTATAGCAGGAGAAGGACTGATTATCATCCCTCATCAACTTTCCCTGCTCTGTGTACCTTATTTTTTCTTGGTAGCCATTTATAGTTCGGATGTTAAAATATTCTCCAATTTTGGGGGAACTATTTATAAGTACCTTATTAAACAGTTTCTTTCTTTGGGTATGATACGATCAAGGCCCTTTACAAATAGTCCATTCGTTTTATACAACCAATAATTTATAGTATAGAAATAGTGTAGGGAATAGAGAATGCTGGAAAGTGGTGTCAGCAAACCTTGTGCTGGCAGTAGGAAAGCAGACTCAGAAGGCCTTATCTATTTGTTTACTCCTGCATCTGACTTTGTGTTGCCTTGCAGGTCAGTAGGACCTGTTGTCATTTGTGAGACCTGCCCAGCCTTTCCAGAGGCCTCCCCAGCTCCAGCTGTACCTCTTTCTTTCTCTTTGAAGTGAAATTCACATAACATAACATTAACCATTTTTAGATGAGCAATTCAGTGGCATTTAATACATTCACAGCATCATGCAACTACTTAGTGCTCTCTAGTTTCACAGTTATACACCTCTCTTGACCCCACTCTCTATTGGGCGTGCAGTAAGAGGTTGTATGGCTTCTGGAGATATTGTGGGCTTTGGGATCTAATACACTGGGGTTTAAATCCTGGCATGGCCGCGTGCTTGGTGTGTGTCCTTGGGAATGTTATGAAACTACCCATGACCTATAGCTTACTCATCTGTAAAGATGGATATGAACAAATACCTCATAGGGTTTGTTTGTTTTGAGAGAGAGAGGGAGAGCAGGGGGTTGGGGAGGGGCAGCGGGAGAGGGAGAAAGGGAATCCTAAGCAGGGTCCATGCCCAGTGTGGAACCCGACACAGGACTCGAGTCGGATGCTCAAACGACTGAGCCACCCAGGTGCCCCTCTTACAGGGTTTTTTTGAGGATGAAATTAGTTTCCCAGCAAATGCCTGGTAATTTCTTTCCGTCTAGATGTGTTGAAGGATATTGATTTAAACCAGAGCCCACTGGCAGTTTAGTCTACCTAAAAGCAGCACAGATATGTATGATGGAGCTTATTCAGGGACAGGGAAACAGCTTTTTCATTAATGCTTGTGGATATGTGATCATGTATGTAAGCTCTGATAACCTTCACTTTTCTCCTTATTGTCTTATAGTTTGGGAAGGTGGTAGTGTATGGGATCTTCCCCTTGACACCACAACTCCAGGACCTGCCCTTGAACAGCTTCAGCAGATGGAGAAGGCCAAAGCTGCAAAGGTCTGAAACTCCTTCTTCCATAGCAGTGCATGCTTTCCATCTGTAGGACATAGGCATTTGTTTACCTATGTCTCTCTCTGGCTAACTCTGCTTTTTCCTATTAGTTTACTGTTACTTAGCTGGTATATAAGCACATTCATATTCTATCCTTACTGTTCCTGCTTTTCCCAAAAAAGATCTCAAACAATGAAAATTAACAAGTTTAAATTAAATCACTTAAAATTGATTGGTTGACACATTAATGATTATGATCAGATGTATACTTTAATTATATTATTCATGGTATAAACACTTGTTATAAATTCTAAGACCTAGGAAAATATACACTGCATTGCTTATCAAACCCTTGATCTGTGGCTTGAGTTCCCACATTGAAGTTTTTTTTTTGAAGATTTTATTTATTTATTTGACAGAGACACAGCGAGAGAGGGAACACAAGCAGGGGGAGTGGGAGTGGGAGAAAATGAAAGCCTTCTCATGGAGCAGGGAGCCTGATGTGGGGCTTGATCCCAGTACCCTGGGATCATGACCTGAGCAGAAGACAGACCCTTCACTGAGCCACCCAGGCGCCCCTCCCCCCCCCACATTGAATCTTTATAGTGGTGTTAGTTTACATTTCTTACTGTCCCCAGACATGTGGTTGAAAAGCTCAACATTAACATTAGATCCCATGTTCCATTCACATCTTCTGGAGGAGCAGGGAATCTTGAATTTTGGTTTTTAGTACTTTCCAGCTGGGGATGTCTTATCAACACTTAGTGTCATTGTAATGATTCTGGATTCTCATGCCTCTGGGAGAATCTTGTTCCTATTTTATACTTAATGTATTCTTATCATCTGAGGTAGTGACAGTCTCCTTAGAGTGCGCAGAAAGGGTTCATGGTCTGTCTCCATAAATGAGCAAGAGACCATAATTCAGCTAATTCTTCAGAGTGTTCTAGTACTGTAGTGCGTTGTGCTGGGAACACATAGATGATGAGGTAGGGTTAGGAACTTGCAGTCTTTTGTGTCTGGTGTGTGTGTGTGTGTGGAAGAGGATGGGGGGCAATGACACACAGGCACGTAATACTTAGAGTTACAGGTTAGTCAAGAAAGCACATGGGCTAGCTGTTCTCACCCAGTTGGAGAGGTGGGTGTCAGGAATTGGGTGACACTGTTGATGGACAGTAATACCTGCACTAATTTTCACTTGAAGAACAGTAGGATTTAACCCAGTTGAAGGAAACAGTTCCTGTAAAGGCTCGGAAATGCATGAGAACATACTGGCTCAGGTAGCAGCTAAATAATTTGGTCTGGCCTGGAGCCATTGTGTGTCTGAGGGATAAATGAAGAGCGAGGAGGCTAAGATGAGGCAAGCCAGTCATGAGGGCCCTTACACGTGTCCTGTTAGAGGGTTAGAATTTATTTCAGGGTGAAGGATGGTGTTATATGTAAGCCAGGAATGATTTTTTTTTTTTTTTTAAAGATTTTATTTATTTATTTGAGACAGAGAGAATGAGAGAGAGAGAGCACATGAGGGGGGGAGGGTCAGAGGGAGAAGCAGGCTCCCTGCCGAGCAGGGAGCCCAATGCGGGACTCGATCCCGGGACTCCAGGATCATGACCTGAGCCGAAGGCAGTCGCTTAACCAACTGAGCCACCCAGGCGCCCAGCCAGGAATGATTTTTTTGGTGGAACTTAAGGTGTTGTGCTGGGGAATGTGAGCAAAACGGATGCTGGGAAACCAAGTAAGGGACTTTTAGAAATGTGGATGAGAAAGTGAAAGCCTAAACTGTATGTGTGGCAGTGAGAAAGGAGATGAGGTGCTGGATTGGACTAGTAACTAGGAACTATAAATGATAGAATTTGTTAAGTGGTTGGTCTTCAAATTTTAAAGAATTCTATGATTTTTCACACTAGCAGCTTTACAACATTGCTGTTGAAACCTTGTAGACACACTGTTAGATCTTGAATCAGAAAATCCTTTGTAGGGATGAGCAAAGAAGTGCCACCCCAAGAGAATTCTGATGTTACTCTCCTGGTGGTCTCCTTCTCCCATGTCTAGGAGATGGGATGTGGTAGTGTGGAGTGAGGAGGTAGGTAAATGTTGGGGGAGAGTCCATTCAGTTTAGAAGAGCATGACACTGTTCTGCCTACTGCGACATACCAGAGCTGAGTTCTTACAGAGCTGGTTTCATCACTCACTTGCAGTACAAGCAACTGTGAATGGTGTAGTGTCTGCATCTTCCATCTTCTCCTGATGATACAGGTCGGTGATGTTGGAGTGTTTCTCTGCTTGGCTACAGGTTTCTTTGTCTTTTTTCTTTTTTTTTTTTAAGATTTTATTTATTTATTTGACAGAGACACAGCGAGAGAGAGAGGAAACACAAGCAGAGCGGGAATGGGAGAGGGAGAAGCAGGTTTCCCACTGAGCAGGGAGCCTGATGCGGGGCTTGATCCCAGGGCCCTGGGATCATGAGCTGAGCCGAAGGCAGACGCTTAACAACTGAGCCATCCAGGTGCCCCTGGCTTCAGGTTTCTAAGAGTATTTTCTTGTAATCACAGCTAGAACAGGAGAGAAGAGAGGCAGAAATGAGGGCAAAACGGGAAGAGGAGGAACGAAAGAGGCAAGAAGAACTGCGAAGACAACAGGAGGAAATTCTTCGGAGGCAGCAGGAGGAAGAAAGGAAGAGGCGGGAGGAAGAAGAGCTTGCCCGAAGGAAACAGGTATACCTCGGAGAACACGGACCCCAGAATTAGCCCTGAACCGCATTCATGGTTCTTGGGAGATGGTCCCTCTGAGGTTGAGATCGGGAGTTAACAGCAGGATTGGGATTAGAGCCTTAGGAGATTCACTTCCTTTAGAAGAAATATCTGTGACCCAGTAGCAGCCCCTGGGGGGGTAGCTTCAGTCCTGGTAAATAACCGGAGTTGATTTCTTTGAATATTCTCAGTTAGATTTCGGAAGTAACTGAGTCTTTGCTTTATAACCAGTGATGATGAACAGTTTTTGTGGACTTTGGCTATTTATATTTCTTTTTTGGGAATTCTCTTTTCATGTGCAGGACCCATTTTTCTGTTGGGATTTTTACAAATCCCAGTTGAAACAATCCACTCTGTAATGGACCCAAAGTCCACTTTATCTCACATTTCATACTCATTGTTGGCCCCAAGAGGTACTCTGTGGAAAACAAAAGGGTCCCTGCTGAGATTAGATTTGAACTACTAATATTTCCTAGGGTTACACTCTACACTAGCACGTAAGGGCTCTAAGAAGTATTGCAGTAAAGAAATCAGTCTAATTCTGTGTTGCTCAGTATTTCCTAAATTTTGACAGTGAGACACCTCCCCTTTTTTAAGATTTTACTTATTTATTTGAGAGAGAGAGAGAGAGAGATCACGAGCAGTGGGGAGGGGCAGAGGGAGAGGGAGAAGCAGACTCCCTGCCAAGCAGGGAGCCTGATGCGGGGCTCCATCCCAGGACCCTGAGATCATGATCTGAGCCAAAGGCAGATGCTTAACTGACTGAACCACCCAGGTGACAGAGACCCTTTTCTTTGTACTTGACATGGGTGACTTTGTTCTTCAGAACACGTTCTAGAATACACAACTTTGCTCAGTACTTCTGACTAGAGAGCTTATTTCTACCACACCAGGCATTTTTGGTTGCTGTGTTGATTTGACCTATGTTCTAGGTTCTCAGTTGATTTGAGGGGGTGGGTAAATAAGGATTAATGGTACCAAAGAGAAGCCAAAGCCTCAGGCCTCCTGTAGCCCTTTCTGGGGTTAATTAGTAAATGCAATAGCTAATGTAGAAACTAGGATGGACTCTCAGTGTAGTGCTATTTAACTGCTGCTATTTTATTTTATTTATTTTTATTTGTTTATTTTTTAGAGAATAGAGCGTGTGCGCGCTTTAGTGGGTGGGTGGCGAGGATAGGGGCAGAGGGAGAGGGAGAATCTTATTTATTATTATTTACTATTATTATTTTTTTTTTAGAGAGAGAGGGAGGGGGGAGGGGAAGAGGGCAAGAGAGAAGATCTCAAGTGGACTCCACACCCAGTGTGGAGCCCGACACGGGGCTTGATCCCTCAACCCTGAGATCATGACCTGGGCCAAAATCAAGAGTCAGACACTTAACCGGCTGAATGCCCAGGTGCCCCACTACTTTAAATACAAATTATTTTAATTGTTGATATGTTTACTTCCCAACTTTTTTTACTTTTTGCTCTAGATCCTGGTTATATTCTTTTTATATTTATTGTTGACAGAGCCTTAGCAACACATAGTCTGTTTCTTTTCAGATTATAATGGGATATATAAATCAAGATCCAGAGTTCGTTTCTTTCTGTGTCTCTCTCTCTCTCTCTCTCTCTCTCTCTCACACACACACACACACACACACACCCTTTTTTTTTTTTTTTTAATTTAGGAAGAAGCTCTGCGACGCCAGAGGGAGCAAGAAATTGCATTAAGGCGACAGCGAGAAGAGGAAGAAAGACAACAGCAAGAAGAAGCTCTTCGGAGACTGGAAGAGAGGAGAAGAGAAGAGGAGGAAAGGCGGAAGCAAGAAGAGTTGTTACGCAAGCAGGTGACAGATGGTTTGCTCTTCTCATTTCTTCTTTGAAGCTAGGAATTTGTGATTGGAAAGTGTTTGGATATGAGGATAGCCTGTTTACTGAAAATTATTAGAAGAGACCTAACTGACTCTTACTACTTTTGTAATGACTGTCCCACGGGTAATTACAAAAGCTGGACAAAATATCAAAGAACCAAAAACCCCTCAGAATACCAGAGAGAAATCTAAAGAAGGCCTACCCTTTAAAAAAACAAATGAGAGATCGGCAAGTTGACCACTTTTGCCTGAGGGTACTCTCACTTTTCTAAAGTGCACTATTCAGTGCTGCTTCATATTTTCACAGGCTGTGTAACAGTGGACACTACCCAGTTCTAGTACAACCAGGTCATTCTGCCACTACAGGCAGCCAGAACCCCTAAAGCATTTCCTTTTAATGTTTAAGAACTTAGATTTTTTTTTTATTAGTAGACTTTATTTTTAGAGCAGTATTAGATTTTCAGAAAAATCTGGATGATAATATGGTTTTCTCTATTATTATCTTACATTAATATGGCACATTTGTCACATTAAACCATTATTGATGTATTGTTATTAACTAAAATCCATAGTTTTTTTTTTCACATTTTGTCAATTTTTCCCTGTCTTTTTTTCTTTTTTTTTTTTTTTAAAGATTTTATTTATTTATTTGAGACAGAGAGAATGAGAGACGGAGAGCATGAGAGGGAGGAGGGTCAGAGGGAGAAGCAGACTCCCTGCCGAGCAGGGAGCCCGATGCGGGACTCGATCCCGGGACTCCAGGATCATGACCTGAGCCGAAGGCAGTCGCTTAACGAACTGAGCCACCCAGGCGCCCTCATGTCTTTTTTTCTGTTTCCAGATCCCAAATCCAAAATATTATATTTAGTTGTCTCCTTAGCTTCTTTGCTTGACAGTCTCTCAGGCTTTCCTTGTTTTGAGGGTCTTTGGCAATTTTAAGGTATAATGGTTCGTATGTTATAGGGTAACTCTCTCTTAGAACTCATCTGATGTTTTTCTTACAATTAAACTGGACTTACGGGGTTTGGAAAGTAAATCACACAGAGGCAAAGTGCCATTTTCATCACACTGTATCAAGGATACATATTCTCAACAGGACTAATGACTGCTGGTGTAGACCTTGGTCACTTGGCAGCAGCAGTGCCTGTTAGGTTTTTCCACTGTAAACATTACTCTTCTCCCTACATACTGTACTCTTTGGAAGGAAATCACTGTGGGCAGTCCATACTTACACATGTAGATTGACACAAGCTGGACATTACCTGATTTTGTCTTAGTTCTTGATTGAAACTCTTTGAGCAACCTAAATACTATTAGAGTAGATAGACCTCAAGGGTAGATTGTATGTCAGTTCATCGTTTGGCTTATTCATTTGACAGTTAACATATTTAGTTAAGGTACTATATGCCAGTTATTGTGCTTGATTCCTGGTGGAGTATGAAAGTTTTAAAGAAATGGTTTCTGTCCTTAAGCTCACTGGCTATGTTGGTGATGATTATACAAGAAATAAATGCCACAGTTAGGATGCTTTCAGGTGCAAAATGAAAATATTCACCTAAAAATAGTTTAAACAACAGATCCCATGTCAAGGATATAAGGCAGTAACTCAGTGCTATCATTAAGGATCCAGGTCCTTTGCAAAATTCTGCTCTAGTGTTTCTTGGTGGGTTTACTTTGACTTCAGATTTTTCACCTCATGATTAGGAGTTTTGGGTACCATGCTCTTGTACAGCCTGCAAGGGAATGATCCTTCTCTTATGCTTCTTTTGTTTCAGAAGAATACCTTCTCTAGAAGCCTCCCAGCAGATATCCCTTTGGCCTAAATCATTATCACATGGGTGCCCCTAGTTACATTGGAAGCTTTTTATTTTTTTTAAAGATTTTATTTATTTATTTGAGAGAGAGAGAATGAGAGAGAAAGAACACATGAGAGGGGATAGGGTCAGAGGACGAAGCAGACTCCCTGCCGAGCAGGGAGCCCGATGCGGGACTCGATCCAGGGACTCCAGGATCATGACCTGAGCCGAAGGCAGTCGCCCAACCAACTGAGCCACCCAGGCGCCCACATTGGAAGCTTTTTAAAAAGTGAAATCTGGCATTTTAGACGTCTGAGGTGACAGAGCCTCTGTCCCCAAGGAAGAAGCCTGAAAGGAATGGTTTTTGGATAGGAAATAGTTGTTGCCACGGGTGGACTAGGAGCAAACAGAGGACGAGGTATAATTGGACAAAATGAAATGGCAGAGGGGAAGTTTACCTCCTAAGGGCTAGAGAAGTCCTCGTAGAGTGGTTGATACCTGCCCTGAGTTCTGGAGAATGAAGGGGAATGGGCTATCTGAATAAAACACAGCATTGTAGGTACAGTAAGCAGACTCTGTGAAGGAGGGTGAGGAGAGTTCCAGAGGGCACATTGAAATGGTTTTGTAGAAGGAAAGTAGAAGGACAATGAGCCAAGGTACAGGACCGAGTAGTAGAGGGATGGACAATGGGTTGAGGAGAGATGTTCCAAAGGACCCGTGGGTCACAAGGGGTGTGAATCTGGGATGGAATTTAAGTGTTCTTGTAAGGTTGCTCTGGTTCCAGAACTGGTTGACGCTTTCCTGGTAATCTGTCCTTGCAAGGTCTTGGTAGCTTTTCACCTTCAGCACCCTGAAAAGCTAGCTCTGCCTCAATATAGGAACAGTCTCCAGAAGCCTTTGCTGCAGTTGGTGGTGATCTCTTAGAGAGATCAGTGCTTACCACCGATGTTCAAAGTGACATTCCTTTCATGGAGAATTTAGCAAATAAATTGAAATTTTATCCTGTAAGCATGCCAAGCCTTTGTAGCTACTGTAAATATATTTTAAAAGAAAACTTACCTCTGCCTTTTGTCATCATAAACAGAGTTTCTGTTCTCTCTGGTACTTGTATAGTTTTTTGACAGAAACCTTCTAAAGTGATTCAGATTTTTTTTAAACACAATTAAATTTTATTCTCTTTTATTTTTCCTTCTGGGAAGGAAGAGGAGGCTGCAAAATGGGCCCGGGAAGAAGAAGAAGCCCAGCGTCGATTAGAGGAGAACCGGCTGCGGATGGAAGAGGAGGCAGCCCGACTCCGGCATGAAGAAGAGGAGCGGAAGAGGAAGGAATTGGAGCTCCAGCGGCAGAAGGAGTTGCTGCGCCAGAGGCAGCAGCAGCAGGAGGCTCTCCGCAGGTTGCAGCAGCAGCAGCAGCAGCAGCAGCTGGCTCAGATGAAGGTAGAGCCTCGGCACAGCCACAGGGGCTCCTTGCCTGGTAGTTTTAGGTGGATGCTGGCAGGGGCAGTAGCAGTAAAGCAGTGTGCTTTCTTTAGTACTGAACGTTAGTAGCTCCCCCCCCGCCTCCCAAGTAAGCTCCATGCCCAGTGTGGGGCTTGAACTCACGACCCAGACAAAGAGTCGCATGCTCTACCGATTGAGCAAGCCAAGCAGCCAGCAAGACTTAGTGACTGGATTTGAGGGACAAAGACAGAGCTGGGGTGGCTGCCAGGTAGTAAGCCTTCGGTGACCATAAAGTTGTGGCATTAGTGATGGAATGGGAGTAATTAGGAAGCTTTATGGCAGGGTCCCAAGAACTTTACATGTGATCTGTGGTTAGCAGTATGGTTTAGTGTCCCCTATCTTCAGGGAGCTCATGGGAGAAAGACATATAAATAGGAAATGTGAATACAAAGTGGTGAGTGTAGTGAGAGAGGTGGCAGTTCTCCGGGTGTGAGCACATGGGAATTAGTTAGGAATGCAGATTCTCAGGTCCCACACCAGACTTCCTAAATCAGAACCTTTTGGGGGTGGGACCCAGTAATCTGTGTTTGAACAAAGCTTCCAGGGCATTCTTCTGCTTCCTCTAAAATGTGAGAACCACTGTCCACATGGGAATGATGGGAAGACTTCCTAGAAGAAGTTAACTTCTAAACTGAGTCATAAGGGAGGAAAATGAAAAACAAGAAAAAGCTAAATAGGCAGTTTGGAGAATGGAGGGGTTTTTGAGAGAGGAGACATGGTGTGAGTAGAGGAATGAAGTTCAGAAACACTGTGGTATGTTTGGGGGAATTTAAAAAGTCAGTTACTACTGCTGGCAAGTGAGGTCTGAGAGAAGTGTGGGCAGGGTCTGTGTCACCATGGGTTGTATATACTCTATTAAAGAATTAGGACTTAAAGGTGTGTAAAACAGAGTGGGACACTAAAGTGTTTTCATCTAGGAAATAGCACTGTCCGATTTGCAGGAGCAAATATTTATCACTTTGAGAACTAAATGGATGATGGACTTGTAAGGAACAGAACTGGAGGTGAGCAGAGTGCTTGTGAGGGGCTGGTGGAGTGGTCCAGGTGAAGGAGAGGAAGGTAGTGGTAGGATTGGAAAGGTGGAGTTGAAGATGGCAGTCATTATTGAATGTTTGCTTTGTGTCAAGCACTGGACCACAGCTTTTCATATGTTACATCATTTTATCTTTACAACCATCGTTAAAAGCTTAAGTGTGGATACCTATGTTCTGCCAAAGAGGAAAAATGTTCAGGAGCTTAATTTTAACTTGTTTTGGGTCCAGCTGAGAGTTGAGAGCAGAGCCGTGCGTTAGAACCCATGTATCTTTGGCTCCAGGGCCGTGAAAAGGCTGTCAGAAGACTGTTCTTAGAGGCCACATCATAGAATGTGGTCACTGATAAGATTATGGGGAAAAGGGGGAAGACAAAGGCACAAGTAACTTCCAGATCTCTAACTTCTCTGGCTGTCTTTTGTGTGTCTGGTTTTGACCTGTTATCTTCCAATAAAGACTGTAGAGATTTTTTTCTTTTTAATGATTTTATTTATTTGAGAGAGAGAGCGAGAGACAGAACACAAGCGGAGGGGAAGGGGCAAAGGGAGAAGCAGACTCCCTGCTGAGCAGGGAGCCCAACGCAGGCAGGGCTTGATCTCAGGACCCTGGGATCATGACCCGAGCTGAAGGCAGACGCTTAACCACTGAGCTACCCAGGTGCCACAAGACTGTAGAGAGATATTTTGTAGATAAACATTCTGAGTGAAGATAAAGAACTTGAGGTGGTTATGAGGAATTGCTAAAGGTTCTCTGGAGCCGGGGGTAGGGGGAGTATTTTTTTTTTTTTAAGATTTTATTTATTTATTTGACAGAGCTATAATGAGAGAGGGAACACAAGCAGGGGAAGTGGGAGAGGGAGAAGCAGGCTTCCCACCGAGCAGGGAGCCCGATGTGGGGCTCGATCCCAGGACCCCGGGACCATGACCTGAGCCGAAGGCAGACGCTTAACGACTGAGCCACCCAGGTGCCCCGAGAAAAGTTTTTTAAAGAGGGCTTTATTGAGATAGAACTGACATACCATACAATTGGACCAGTTAAAGTAGACAATTCAATAATTTCAGTATATTCAGATATGTGCAACTGTCACCATGTGGATTTTGACATTTTCAGTATCACCCTAGGCCCCCCAAAACACCCTCTGGCTGTCACACCCTACCCCCTGTTCTCCCCAGCCCAAAGTAACTCCTAATCTACTTTCTGTCTAGATTTGCCTATTCTAGACATTTCCCATAAATACAATCATATGATATGTGGTGCTTTGTGACTGGCTTCTTTGAATTAGCATAGTGGTTTCAAGGTTCACTTATACTGTAATACGAATCAGTACTTTATTCCTTTTTATGGCTGAATAGTATTCCACTATATGGACATGCCAGCTTTCGTGTATCCATTCCTCAGTTGATGGACATTTGAGCTGTTTCTGTCTTTTGGCTATTATGAGTATTGCTGTTATAGATAAATATTTATGTACAAGCTTTTATGTAGATGTATAAACCTAGGAGTGGAATTGCTGGGCCGTATGAGAACTATGTGTTTAATGGTTTGAGAAACTACCAGACTGTTTTCCAAAGTGGCTGTACCGTTTTATATTACCACCAGCAGCAGTATATGGGAATTCAGATTTCTCCAGATCTTCATTAATCCTTATTATCTGATGTTTTGATTGTAGCCACCCTTGTAGGTGTGAAATGATATCTTGTGGTTTTGGCTTGCATTTGATGACAAATGATGTCGAGTATCTTTTCATGTGTTTATTGGCCATTTGTGTAGCTTTGAAGAAATTTCTATTCAAATCCTTTGCCTGCTTTTAATCTAGGTTTGTCTTACTGAATTATAAGAGTTCTTTATATATATTCTAGATATTCTGTTCACGTGGTCTATACATCTGTCATTATGCTAGTAACACACCGTCTTGATATTTTATTGCTTTGTTTAACTTTTGAAATCAGAAAGTGTAAGTCCTCCAACTTTTTCTTTTTCCATATTGTTTGGCTATTTTGGGTCTCTTTCAGTTCCATATGGATTGTAGAATGAGCTTATCAATTTCCACGAAGAAGCCAGCTGGGATTTTGACAGAGATTGCTTTGACTCTGTAGATCAGTTTGAGGAGCTTTGCCACCTTAAGAATATTAAGTCTTCTGATCCATAAACATGGGATGATTTTTATTTAGATCCTCTTGAATTTCTTTCAGTACTTTATAGTTTTTAGAGTGTAACTTTTGTATTACTTCTGTTAAACTTATTAAGTATTTTGTTCTTTTTGATGTTCTTGTAAATGGAGTTTTCAAAATTTCATTTTCAGATTGTTCGTTGCAAGTATATAGATACATAATTGGTATTTTTTTTAAAGATTTTATTTATTTGTTTGACAGGGAGAGATAACAGCGAGAGAGGGAACACAAGCAGGGGGAGTGGGAGAGGGAAAAGCAGGCTTCCCGTGGAGCAGAGAGCCCGATGCGGGGCTTGATCCCAGGACCCTGAGATCATGACCTGAGCCAAAGGCAGATGCTTAATGACTGAGCCACCCAGGCGCCCCTACAATTGATATTTGTATATTGAGCTTGTATCCTGCAATCTTGCTGAACTGCTTTATTAATATTTCTTAATGGATTCATTAGGATTTTCTGTATACAAAATTTTGTCATCTGCAAATAGAGATGGTTTTACCTCAACCTTTACAGTCTTTTATTTCATTTTCTCCCTAGTTGTCCTGGCTAGAACCTCTAATACAATGTTGAATAGAAATAGCAAATTGAGTATCTTTGTCTTGTTTCTGATCTTGGGGGAGGAAGCATTCAGTCTTTCACCATTAAATTTAATGTTATTTGTGGATTTTTTTGCACATGCCCTTCATCAGGCTGAGGAAGTTTCCTTCTATTCCTTCTTTGTTGAGCATTTTTATCCTGAAAGGGTGTTGGATTTTGTCAGATGCTTTGTGTCTGTTGAGATGATCATGTTTTTTTGTTTTGTTTCTATCAATATAGTGTAATATATTAATTGATTTTCAGATGTTGAACCACTGTTGGATTCCTGGGATAAATCCTACTTGGCATATAATTCTATTTTTATATGTTGCTGGACTTGTTTTGCGGGTATTTTGGTGAGGATTTTTGTGTTCATAAGAGATTTTGGTCTGTAAGTAATTTTTTCTTTCTTGTGATGTCTTTGTCTGATTTGGTGTCACAGTGATGCTTGGCCTTGAAGAATGAGTTGGGAAATGTTTCTTCTATATTTTGGACGAGCTTGTGAAGAAGTGGTATTATTTCTTCTTTTTTTGTTTTTTTAAGATTTTATTTGAGAGAGAGAGCGAGAGTGAGTGAAAGAGCACGAGCAGAAGGAGCTGCAGAGGGAGAGGGAGAAGCAGGCTCCCTGCTGAGTAGGGAGCCTGACACGGGACTTTGGGATCATGACCTGAGGTAAAGGCAGACGCTTAACAGACTAAATCTCATAGGCGCCCCAAAGTGGTATTACTTCTTTAAATCTTTGGTAGACTTCAGTGGTTAAACCATCTAGGCTTTTCTTTGTGGATAGTTTTTTGATTACTAATTCAGTGTCTTTACTTTTTTTTTTTTTTTTAACTGCAAAGAAAACTTATTTTGCAGATCACTAGCCATTAATTTTTATCATTAGTTCTTACATAAATACTGCCTGGTGCCATTATCCAAATGGCAGGACCATTTTATGTCTACACTTCACTTCTGTATTCACAAAGAGAATTTGCATGACTTACATAAATGTAACTATCAGGGGTGCCTGGGTTGTTCAGTCAGTTGAGCATGAAACTCTTGATTTTAGCTAAGATCATGATCTCAGAGTTATGGGATCTGCCCACATCAGGCTCTGCGCTCAGCACAGAGTCTGCTTGTCCTTTCCTTCCGTCTCTGCCCCTCTCCCCGTGTGCACACT